CTTATGAGAAATCTAAGAGCGACAATATACCGTTGGTAATATTGCAGTAAAATACTACTCATAAAACAATACCTATCAATATATAATATAATGCAATAATCACATAAAAAGAGCTTGACTAGATTTATATGAAAGTTGACAATAAAATATATTGATAAGAAGAAGAAATATGATAAAAGAAAATTATTTACTCAAATGTATAAAACTTACAAACCATTAGAGAATCAAAAATCCAAATAAATTCACTACACATATAGGATCATCTCTAGCCTCACCTAAATACTCTAGCCTAACTTGCACATAATTCCCATAAAATTCTAAAAAGAAAGTATGAGAATAAGAACAAGAAAAAGAAAATATGTGAGAATTTAGGCTCTAAAAAATCCACACTTAATCACCTTGACAATGACCCTATTTATAGAGTTTTGAGAATGCTAAAAAGCTAAAAATCAGATCCTAATTAAGAAGTTACAAGGCTTAATCGGAGGAGAAAAACCATCACGTTTCTGAAGAGTGGGACACATGGCACCAGACCACGTGTCGCGCGACGATAGGCTGAGAGGAGTAAGTGGCCGACATCTGGGTCCCATATGGACACGTGGCACAAGTTGATTCGCGCGTGGGAGAAAACGTGTTGCACTGCTGGGCCCACACGGAGGAAGAGTGGATGCGCGCGGGAGAAGAACTCGCTCGGAGAGAGAACGTGCGAGCAAAGCGCGCGTACGCGAGGGAGCAGCTAGACCCCACTGGACGCGTGGCGAGACCTGGCTGGAGGGACGCTGGAACGCGGGACCCATGCGAAAGAAAGAGGAAGCGTGCCTGACGCGCCTGTGAGGAGAACTCGCCCGGAGGGAATGGCGTGCACGCCAAGCGCGCGTATGCGCGGGGACAGCTGGGTCCCACGGACCTGCGGTGCGGCAGTGGTCGACACGTGGCGGCTGGGATGGGCTTGCGGCTTCTCAGCTCGGCTCGGCTGGACGATGGGCTGATGGGCTTTGGGCCGAATTGGGCTTTTCTTGGGCTCAACTTTTGGGTTTTGCTTGGTAAACTAGCCCAAATCCAATTGTTTTCTTGAAAAACCTGAAAAAAATGAAATAAATCTAATTAAAATTAAATCCTCTAAATTTAGGAATATTTGAAATTAAAATCACAAATTTGATAAAATAATTTGACAATTATGAACATTAAAATTGTAAATTTGTGCATTTATCACTGAACAAGCATTCAGTACAACCGACCGAATACTTAAAGATCGGAGAAACGCATTGCAACAAGATATTGTTGAAGCTTTGGTGTGCATCAAGGATTGGGATCATTCCGACTAACGCTTACACGATACAATCTCACTGGCAAGCTAAGAATGGATCGACGAATTTAATAGATTAACTTTTAATTTTCAAGACGATCCTTCTACTTTAAATTAAATGTTATTATTGTAATTTGTAAATATTTATTTACTTTGTAATTTCTAATTTGTATAGTGTTATTGTAATCTTGAATAGATTTTGTAAGTTTGTCAAATTTATAATTCGTCCCACAATGATTGCACTCTTTTTTCCTTATTAAGTTTTTATCTCAATTGGGTTTTTCTTGATAAGATTTTTAACGAGACAATCATGAATTACAAATTTAAAAATCAATAAAAAAATATTTTTTTTATATAGTTCGTGTGTTCATTTCAAATTTCAAATTGTAATATATATATATATATATACATTATACAATATAAAAATATTTAAAAATTCAGGCAGGCGGTCGGGTAACGGGCAGCCCGAAGCCTGTCCAAGGTAAAAATTGGGTCGGGTCGGGCAGTCTGAATTTTTAGACAGTTCGGGTTTAATAATCAGGCAAAAATTTAAATGTTTCAGTGATCACAGACGTCATGTCTAAAATTTCAGTACTATATTGGTCACCATATTCGGTCTATTTTATCGTTTTAAATTTAAAATTATAATAAATTTAAATTTTATTATAATAAAATTTTTTTTTAAAAATAATTATATATATTTATTTTATTACAGTAAATTTTTTTTATATAAAGTCACATTTTAATTTAAATTAATAAATTAAATATTTTTTTTTAAAAAAATTCTAAATTTTAAGAAAATGTTACGCGGTTGTCTACTTTTTAACACCGGAAACAAAAGTACTCATTTTTTGACTTTAGTCAAGGATGTATTTATATGCACTTAATTGGACTTTATGTTTTCCACAAAAAAAGAGAGAAAAAACCATTGAATGAATCAAGTATCAGTCTATTTGCCCGTTTGTTTAGTTCATATTATTTCTCTTGAGAAGAAGGAACAAAAGCGTCACTTTGGCCGAGTAGTTAAGGCGTGTGCCTGCTAAGTACACGGAGTTTCTCCGCGAGTTTGAGGGCTTATTCTTTTATAAGTATTCTTGAGTTAAGTTTTTAAGTTAAATTTGAGTTATAATTTGAGTTGAAGTTATAATTTGAGTTTACGTTTAATTGTGTATACTTGGGTTATGATTTTAGATAAGAATCTTTTTGAGTTTGTGTTTATTTGTTGTAAAACTTGAGTTGTGAATAGTGGATATAATTTTTTTCTTTCAACAATTTTATTCAATTCTTTTACAATTTTTTTATTTTCTGAATTTATTATGTTTTTTGTTATTAAATATGAATAATTTAAATTACTTATAAATAATTATTGAGTAATCTGATAATTTTAAAAATATACATAATTACAAAAATAATAAATAATAAAAACAAAAAGTAGAAGATCAGGAAATGGTTCTCTCGGTTTGCATTATATTCACATTGACATTAGACACACACACAAATATATATATATATATATATATTTATATTACAAAAAGTAGTCTTGCATTGAACCACGTGAAATGGCAGTGTAGAAAGAAGAGCTGAAAGCAAGTTTCAGCAGCGCACAGCTCTCAAGGTCAGGAATCTGCACTGTATAAGTGCAGAGAAGTAACTCGAGTAGCAGGGGAAAATTCAACTCAAAAACGGGTTGATAACTCGAATTAATTTTCAAGTTTGAATTCGAGTTTTCAAATGCCGAACGCGAACTTGGGCCAACTTCAGCACTCGAGTGAGCCTTTCTCGAGTAAGTTGCAGCAAACGAACAGACCCTGAATCTCTCAGGCGACGATTCTTTTTTTCCTTTCACCTTTTCTAAATTTCAGATGTTTTTTGCCTCTCACTGACTTCAAAAGCCTTTACAAAAGCTTTTAGAAACGTTAGAGTGACAAATATTTGATACTCTTAAAGTAACATTGATTAACTCCAATTCTGTTCAGCATACTGATTAATGTTTTCAGCAGAGTTTTGTCTTCAATCAGACAATTGTGTTAGACGTGAATATACAATCTTGTCTAGATTAGCTTACATTTCTTTTTCGTGAGATTAATAGCATGTTTACCTACATGTAATTAAAATAGACATAAATTGGAATGAGCAGAATTCAAAGTGAGTAGAATTTAAAGTGAGGAATTAAAGTCAGAATAAATTGTTTACTTAGCGGCAATATTCAAAATCAGAGGCATTTTAAATCCTATTTATGCGTTTACTTACACTTAAAATCAAAATTAACTAATGTAAAAGTACTAATATACCCTTTAAGTCAATTTATATTTGTAATTTAAAAAATAAATTGTGTACTTATTACATTAAAATTAATCATAATTTATTTATTTAGTATAATAATAGAGTAATATAATAATAAATATAAATTGTATTGTTATTTAAAATATAAAAATAAATTGTCAAAATTAAAAATATTGTTAAAAAATTAAAATATATTATTAATTTATTAAACAAAATAAAGTACATATTTTATTATATAAAATTAATAATAATTAGGCTAATATAATAATATTAAGCAAATAAAATAGTAAATAGAGGCTATAATTAGTATTTTTTGAATTTTATTTCTAAATTTATATTTATAAGTAAAATAGGGATATGATAGTAATTTAATTTTAATATCAAGAATGAGAGTCTCAATTCTAAAAGGAGCATGAAAATGCCAATCTCATTTCTTAATCTTAAATTTGAGCGGAACCCACCAATCCCGCTCCCATTTCAAAATAAAAAGAGTAAATATGAAATTAACTCTAATTCCTTACTTCCTAAACATGCCATAAGTTCAATCATTGACAATTACTACTTATCTCCTAGTTCAATTTGCAAGCAAAGAACTCATATTGTTTATATCAACTTGAATCTAGATGATCTTGCTAACATATGCCCACATGAAAATTAATTACACATACGGGACAACTCGAAAGTGGCGAAACACCACCAAACGGATGGCGTAGTTAATAATGAAATGCAATTAGGCTCTGCTAATATATTTTCAGGGTTGATAGTAAAATGTAATTTAAATGGCATGAGTGTTGATTTTTACCCTACTCTTAATTAATACTTTTACCCTACTCTTAAATAATACATTTTTAATCAAATATTATACTAATCAAGAGTCAGGGTAAAAAATTTAAACTTGTGCCCTTCTAAGGTAAGTTCACTAATATACTCCTGAGAATAATGAATATCAATATTAGATGTATTAGTAAAGCACAACCTTTTTAGCAACTGAGCAACTTCTATTAGAAAATTTCTATTTTGACCTACCACATTCCTCAAAGGTCGATACTTTAAGCAACATGAAGCAAACCATCCTATCCAATTCTAATTTATTAATTGATTTTCTGATCTGATGAATAACTTGTCAACCTCTTTTTTCAACCAACAAAAACTCATTGACCTCTTTTCGTCGCATTTGTTCAAATCTAAAAAGCATAGAAACATGAATCCTTGAATAACAGCTGCAGAACTTATCCATAGGCAACTAAAGTGACTTCTACCAAATAAATTGACATTATAAAGATGAGACATTAATAACAAAGGTCCACAACGGATTAATGTCTATCGAGTAAAAATTAATTTCCCATATCCCAAAAGTGGAAAACAACCTCAAGCCATCGCCAAATGCCAGAGTACCATAGCTCGACTCAAATGGAACAAAAATTCAACACACCTCTCCAATATTATTACCAATCCAAGAATGATAGATATCCAAAGATGCAAATTAATGCTTAATTGCTTGAAGAAATTTCCACACTTTTGAAGGAAACTATCCAAAAAAAAAAAAAAGGAACTCAAAGTCCAAAACCAAAGACCGCACGTATCTTGTGGAAAATCAGATCCCGCCATCCTCTCTCTGTATTCTCCACCACGGTCGCATTCCCGTATCTGTTTCACAAGACAAAGCAATTAGCTTTCCAAGAGAAGCAATCAAATTAACACGTATAGCCGAAACTAACCTCTTTCCAAAGCAAAAATTAACACATATAGCCAAAACCAATATCTTTACAATCACGTTAAAAGAAACGCACCTATCTTCCTCTGGAATATCAGTGTGTGTTAGCTTCACAACGGTAACTCCCGGTTCAGGTTCATCCAAAGTCAGTCTCACCTGTGACATTCAATTAGATATAATCAACTTTGCTAATCAAAGACTAATCAAATAAACATCCAAGACTACTATGCTAATCACAAACTAATAAAAATATACCAACATCGTATCAAATTCAGTCAACTCTGCTAAACACAATCTAATCAGATATACTAACATTCTATCAAATTTAGATAAACATTGCTCATCACAAACTAGTCAAAACATACCAACATTATACCAAATTTAGTCACTTTGCTCAAGACAAGCAAATCAATATACCAACATTATATCAAATTTGGGGAACTTTGCTAATTACAAACTAATCTAAATATACCAACATTGTATAAAATTTGGTCTACTTCACTAATCACAAACTAACCAAATAGTATCAGCACTCAATCAAATTCGGACAACTTTCCTATTCACAAAGTAAAAAAAGTTGCCAACATTCTATCAAATCCTAGTCATGTTCCCTAATCTAATACACATCCAATAAACTTTGGACAACGTTGCTAATCACAAACCAAACAAATATACCAACATTGTAAATTTGGTCAACTCAGCTAAGCACAAACTAATCAAATAGACCAACATTTTATCAAATTTGGATAACTTTGCCAATCCTAAAGTAACCAAAATGTCCCAACATTGTATAAAATTTGGTCTACATTATTAATCACGAACTAATCAAAGAATACCAACATTGTACCAAATTTTGTCAACTTCGCTAATCACAAAATAACCAATATACCAGCATTCAATCAAATTTGGACAGCCTTGCTAATCATGATCGAATATGCCAACATTCTATCAAATTTTAGTCATTTTTGCTAATAGCAGTTACCAAACATATCCAAAACACGACGTGGGAAAAACATCAAAAAACAAGAAACTTTACCGTCGAATGAATCCCATCAGGCCAATTTCCAAACCGCCATTTCTGAACGATCAAATTCCCGTCTTGCAACTCCAGATTCGTACCGGTCACTGACCCATCAAAAATACTAAACTCTCCACCAACCTCCTTGCTTATCCTCGCATTACTACTCGTGAATCCCTTCCACCGATTCTCATCCATCAAAATCTCGTACATATCCCTTGCTCTGCAACTGAACTTCTCCGTCATCGTTATCGTCTTAAACCCTTCCTTCTTCGCCTCCTTCTTCTTCACCTCCTTCTTCTCCACCACCTCCTTCGTCGCCGCCGCCGCCACAGAATTCACCGACGGACTCGTCCAGCTCTTCGGCTCCACCTTCTTGCTCTCCAAAGCGTCCTTAGCGGGGCCACCTCTAGCCATTGTTTCAACATAAACCCTAACCTTCTCGAAAATAATTGGCTTCCCCTTCGCCGCCATCGCCTCCTTCAACGTTCTCCCAATCGGCCCCTCGTCCTTCACCGTAACCCTAATCTCCGGATCCTCGTCGGCGTTCTCGTCGGCGATGTACGGAATATCGACGGTGCCGTCCACCTTAAGTAGCGACTTCCCGTCGGCGTCCTTGGCCTCGCCCTCCCACGGGATCGCGACGCTGATTTCGTAGCCGGGAATGATCTTCCCCTTCCGTACGTTAACGTACGCCTCGCCGTCGACCTTCTCGACCTTCTTGGTCCGGACGAAGAGATTGCCCTCGCCGTCGAGGACGACGAGGTTGGAGAGAAGCTTCGAGAGTAAGTTCCGACTCCATTCGAGGCAGTCGGTCTCCGACCAATGCCAGTTGTGGACGTTGGCACCGTCGGGTCTGTCCTCGACGATCCATCGCCTGTCGCCCTCGCCGTACTTCGCCATTAATGCAAGAGGGAGAAAGTTTGGAGCTCTTTTCTGAGATTTGGGGAGCTAGGGATTTTTGTAGAGAAACAGGAATGGGAAAAAGCGAGAAAGTTTGGGAGAGAGAAATAGGGTGGGAAAGTGAGGAAGGAGATGGGTCTGGAGGCTTCCGCGAAATGGAAGGGTCTAGAGTCTACTCTTACGTTTTTTTTTTTTTTTTTTTTTAGCACAATCTGGTGTAGTTAGTGAATCAGTGATACAGAAGGATCTAGAAGTTCACGTTTTTTTTTTTTTTTTTTGATAAATTTTAAAAGTTTCCCCTTAAGTCTTAACTAGAGGCCCGTTTAGTTCGCTGATTTGAGTTTTTAATTTGAGTTGAGATGTGACGTTATGTGAGTTTTTTACTGTAGCAAAAAAATTAGATGTGATTGTTTCTGAGAGCTTTTTACTGTAGCAAAACTCGAATTCTAAACTCGAATCGGCGAAATGAACGGGGCCTAGGATTTATTTTGTACGATGATTAAATTAATGTATTTTTATATTTTGGAACTATAACTATAATTTATTATTTTAGATTCAAATTATTTAGAATTAAGAGTTTAATCACCTTGAATCAAAAGAGAGTGTAATTTTAGAATTATGATTTGAACTAGTTTAAACATTACATCAGATTTTGAATCATAATTTAAAATCATCCAAATCAAACACTAATTATGAATCATGATTTAAAATCACTGTAAATAAACACTAATTCTGAATTAAGATCTAAAATTATAATTTTAAATCCATCTACCAAACATACTCATAAAGGTTTAAAAATATTAACAAACTTAACATCTTTATGTGCATCACACCCATTTATATATCTAAAAAATAACGCGTTCCAACACTTAGGAGGTGAGTTAGAAAACATATTATACATTAAGAGACACAATAAATACATTTGAATGTTTGAATGGCATGTAGAAAAAGAAATTATGTAAAATTTACTTTTTTAGTTTTTCATTTCTCATTTTTTAACCATGCATTTTAGAGCTATACCATTAAGTGTACTTCTTATTTCTATTAATTTCATTTTTAGTTCTGAAAACCTACATCCTCCAGCCACATATTTTCAAATTGAAAAGAGGGTGGCATTTTGTAACACATTGAGAAATTAAACAGAATTAATTAAAGTAATTAGGATTTATTAGTGTGTCTAATATTGTTTAATTACTTAATAATGTTCATTAAATGTTTCTGGTGTTTAAGTTTAAATATTTCTAAGGGATTTAAATATTTTACATATTTATATTTTCACCCTAAAAGTATATGTAGACACACTTCCTAGTCTATTTTTATAAATATCTTTTGAAATTATCCTTATTTTTCTTATTTCTTTTCTTTCCTTTTTTCTTTTTTCTTTTTCCTTTTCTTCCTGTGCTCCCTCAACTCTCTCTCTCTCGTTTTCCCTCTTGCTCTCCCTCTATGTTGTTCTCTCACTCTCTCTCGTAGCTCTCTCTCACACTTTCTTCAAAATTTGTCAAATCTTCTAAAATCTTGAACTAAAGAGGAACTTTAATGAGTTTTCAACGTCAAGAGAATCATTTGGGGTAAGATTTCTGAAAAACTTCTCTTGCATCTTAAATTTTTCGGTTAGAAAAACCTATTTTTAGTTTAAATTGGATTTTGGGTAAAATCACGATGAAAATTGGTTCTTTGGACTAAATTTGTCATTTCGAACCTGGATTTAGTAATTTTTCTTTGAAATATCTCAGATTAGAAACTCAGATTTGCAGGTTTTGGAGTTTTTCTTCGTAGTTTGGTCATTTTTCCACGAACTGCTGAACTCCACCGGTCTCTTCTTCATCGGCCGACCGGTGAAGAACAACTTCTCTGTCACCGGTCAGCCGATGCACACGTGATTTGAGCTGAATTTGCCTTGAAACCCTGTTTTGACCCTGATTTTTAAAGAGAGCCCAAATTAGCTTCATTTAAGAACCTAAAGTAGATGGATTAGCATCTTTATCCATGTTTTGAGATCAAAATCCTTGGAATGATGATTTGAAACATGAAATAATTTATGAAACTTGGAATTGGATTAAGGCACACTAATAGGAAATCAAAGTGTATAATTGAGCTCGATTTGCTTTAGAAATGAAAATTGAATCCTAAAGCATTGTTTTGTGTGTGTATGCTAGTTGAGAAGTAGGATTGAAGGCTTTGAGGAAGCAGAAGCTAGAATAGCGCAACGCTAGCAATATGTTTGGTACTTTAGAGGTAGGATTTCTTATCATTTTCTTCGATAGCCTATTTTAAAGAGTTTTGACCTTACAAATGTTTTAAAGAAAGGACATGTTTGAGGAAGAAAAAATATTTTAACACAATAGTTTGATTTTAGCTATTGGAATCATAATGAACTATTTCAGAGTTTTAATGAATGATTTCTTAAAATAAGATATTTTGCAAACTGGTAAGCCTGCTGATGACCTAGATATGATATGCAACGTGTATCCTCGGGGGCAGAACCTGGAACCCAGACCAGGTCACTACGGTGGTGTTAAGGCTTGTACTTATGGTTGTGTAAGTAATTTATCAGAGTACAAATTACTTGCTGATGCCTGTAATATGGAATTAAGAGTTTACACTTCCTTTCAGAAAAAAAGGATGTTATGTTTTGGCTGTTGTGTTGGAACTGTTGGTCACCAAATCGAATCCGGATGCGGAAGCGTAGGGGGGGGGGGAGTCGGATCGTGTATAACAAAAATTTTCATAAAACCTTTGAGATACTCTATAGATTATATTAATTTATGTACGAATAAATTAATCTCATTAATTCATTTATTAATAACTAATTAGGAAAAATACCTAGAGGCCGACTCAGATGATAACTTAAGTTCTTTGACCTCGAACAATCCTTGCTCCAAAGCTTTGTGTTTAGAAAACCAATGTCTTCCACGTCAATTCCTAGAATCCATGAAGACGTGTATGTAGGCACACATGAGACAAAACGGGTTACAATAAACACTCGAATTTTCACAAACACCAACGCATGCACGATGTGAAATTTTTGGAGAAAGATATTTCCTTCACTCTATAGAGAAATTTCGGCCACCTCTAAAATTAGGGCAAAAATTCATTCTGAAAATTGTCTACCATTCGCTTATTTATAGAGTATAAGTCAAACTTCTAGAAGGAATCCAATCTATATCTCTAAGATAAAGTTAGTTAATTATCTCCTATTTGAATTTTAAACAAAATCTCCTATTCCTTTATCCCTTAGTGTGGCCAGCCAAGATAGGGATTCTCATCCCTGTGTGGCGCCAATATCAGATAGGGAAGGAAAAGAAAATCATCATTTATCCTGTCGTCCAATTTTGACTCAAATTCAAATTCCAATTTAAGTCAAACTTAAATTAATTTGAATTCTAAATTGAACAACTTATCAAATAAGTTTAAATGGATAAATCTAGATGTGTTCAAATTCAAATTTAAATAATCACATTATTTAAATAATAATTAATTCTCAATTAATTATTTTTGAGTGTTTAATTTTAGAATTCTGTAATTCTAAAATTCTCATTTTGCCTTATGTGTCTGGTAGAATTATTAAGACGATGCGGGGACTAATGGACCTATAATCCCGAGCTCTAATAAAATTAATAATTGATTAGTGCATGAAAATGCACCATAAATATTGCTTTTGATTTATATAATATTAAAATATTTAAGCTTTAATTAAACAAATCCATTATTTTTATTCATAATATTTTTAATTGGAATTTGTCTAGTTTTTGCTTAATTATTTGCAGATAAAAAAAACAGTGTAAAAATTAGAGCTTGGTAAAATCTGTTAACCTCTCTAATTACTTCTTTATCCTTGAGTACCATTGATTCTCTAATGGACAATGATTCATAAAACACATTTATGAATCGGAGCTCCTACTGGTCCAAGTTCCGAATCAACCCTTAAGAGAATTATTTATCTACTTCTTTCTCAATAAGGAATGGATTCCATCTCGTATAATAACATTCCCGGCTACCTACTTCATCATATCTCCAAAATACAAGGAATATGATTCAGGATCTCAGAATCCCGTATCGAGTAAATCAAAAGACACAAATCTATAAATAGGAGTCTGTTAAGAACTCAGGATTAAGACCAGCCTATATATGACAATCAGTAGACTCAATTAGAATTTCTATACTTAACAGAATTATTAGAAATTCATATTGTGTCTGTGTCCTTGTTCCACA